TATATATATATATATATATATATATATATGGAAAAAAAACTAAAATGAGAAAATGGGGTGAGGGTGGTGTGTATCAGAGGCCTGAATAAGAGACCTGAAAAGATCTGAGATCTGAAGGAAGGTGCTGGGGGAGTGGGCTCAGGGCAGGCTGTTTAGCTATCTGGAGGAAGAACAGTGAGTTTCTATCAGAACAGCAAGTACAAAGACTGGGGAAAATGATGCCTGGTCAAGGCTCAACAAGGCTGGTATGGCCGGAGTGGCATGAGAACGGGGGAGATTAGTAGATGGAGCCGGAGAGGCAGGGGTGCAGTGCCTGGTTCCCATCAGGGGAATACCTAGGGAAGGTGTGCAGAACCAACCTGAACAGGCCCTAACGGTGAACTCCCCAGGAAGAATCTCTACTCCACTACCTACTGTTCCCCATCCCATGCCCAACCAATGCCATTTTGGTTTAACAAATGACTTCTACTATTGCATAGTGTGGAGTTGGTGCTATTGGCAATGACTTCCAAATATTTTGACTTATAACCCCAGCCATAAGAAATGCATTTTAAATCAGTTTACTACATATATGCATCCACTAAAAAGGAAGTTTCTTGAAACAGTACTTCCCTTACTACATGAGGTTTTTTTTTCTTTTCTTTTTTTAGTACCAAGGATTGAACTTAGGGATGCTTAACCACTGAACCACATCCCCAGCCCTTTATATTTTTTTTTTTGTTTTAAGACAAGATCTCACTGAGTTGCTTAGGGTCTTGCTAAATTGCTGAGGCTGAACTCAAACTCACCATCCTCCTGCCTCAGCCTCCAGAGCTGAGGGATTGCAGGTGTGCACCACCTTGCCCAGATGCTGCTGCTTTTTTTTTTTTTCCTTTTTTTTTTTTTCCTTTTTTTAATGCTGATCAAACCAGCCTGGGTTCTATCCCCATCCCCAGTACAGAAAGAAAACAAGCAGACAGAGAAACAATAACATCACCTGTTGGATAATTGTTACAAGATGTAAAACTCTTTATAATCAGCCAGGTGCGGTGGTGCATGCCTGTAATCCCAGGAGCTATAGAGAGTAAGGCAGGAGAATCATAAGTTCAAAGCCAGTCTCAGCAACTTAGTGAGGCCCTAAGCAACTTATTGAGATTGTCTCACAATAAAAAATAAAAAGGGCTGGGGATATGGATCAGTGGTTAAGTGCCCCTGCGTTCAATCTCTGGTACCAAAAAATTAACAAACAAAAACAAAATCCAAAAGACTCTAAGAAAAAAAATCTTTAATGTATATATTAATGCCTCTGCTGACTGGGGATTCAGAAAGAGAAGTCAGGTTTCTGGGAGACTGTTCCCTAGGGTAAATAACCTCACATCCAGGACTATGACCAATGCTTGTCAGTTGAACCTCTTGCTGTGCTAGGACATGCAGTCTCTAGAGCCCCAGGAACTGTTGGGGAAGGGGGACTCCAAGTGCCAAGCAGAACATCCCATCCCATCATATGATCCCCACAGGAGGGCCGTGTAGCCATCACCCGTGTGGCCAACCTTCTGCTGTGCATGTATGCCAAGGAGACAGTGGGCTTTGGGATGCTGAAGGCCAAGGTATGTCTGTGCCCATCTCTTTACCGCTCTGGGCCCGGCCTTTGTGCTCTGTCGCCTGGTCTACTCCGATCCACATTCCCTTTCTGGAGTTCTATCTCCTTAGTCCATGTCTGCTGTGGGTGAACTCCCAAGAGCAGGTGGTTGCTCAGTATGTCTTGGGGATCAGACTGGGTTGGGATCCCTCTGGGTGGACTGATGTGTGCTCACCCTCTTGCAGGCTCAGGCCTTGGTGCAATACCTGGAGGAGCCCCTCACCCAAGTAGCAGCATCATAATGGGCGTTGATGGAGGCTGGGGTCAGAAAAGAGAGATGACCAGTCAGAGGGGCAAGGCCTCCTGGGCAAACCTCCTGAACTGTGGGGGAAGGGTGGGCTTTTGTATTTTCCAGAATAAATGTTAACTCCTGACTTGTTTCTTGGCTACTTTCTTGGATGGAAGGAATCAGGGATGGCCTAGAGGATTCCTCATGTTCTACAAGAGTGGATTTCCACCCATCCTTCCTTCACTGTGACATCCCATAACCTGATGGTTCTTGGCTGGTGCAAGCTTCCTTTGCCTATCCAGTGGTGACCTTACCTAACCTCTGCTGCTCAGAGCAGAATTACCCACCTAGTGGCAAAACCTTAGGAGTGAGCTCAGATGAGCAAAGAACTGGTTAGGTTTGGAAAAAGAATACATGGAAGGCCCTGGGAGTGTAGTATCCTTGATTGAGGTTTTGAAAGGGTCCCTCTGACTGCCCAAAAGGGGGCGCCATTCCTTTCTTCTTCTCCCAGGTGTTCAAAGGCTCACCCAGACCCTTTCCAGGAAAATACACACACACACACACACACACACACACATAAACCTATATAATTTATGTATACAATTGAGACAGGTTCTCACTAAGTTGCTGAAGCTGGTCTCAAACTTGCGATTCTCCTATCTCAGCCTCCTAAGTCACTGGAAGTTACTGGTGTGCATCACCATGCCTGGTCCTTCCAGATCTTGAAGCTCTTTGCAGACAAAATGCCTTTGTTGTGAGACCTCGGATCCCAGACAAGGAGTAGAATCCTAGAAGGCTGCCCAGAGGCTCTGATCTCCAGATCCTGCCTCCGTACTCACCCCATCTGCTCTTTCTGCCTCACCTCTTCCCTCCTCAGTGTCCTTAGAGCAGGTCTGTGCTGGTGAGTCCCTTGCCCCAGTGCCAGAGGAAGGGACCAGGCAAGCAGAAAATTCAGAGTCCCAGCTGGGTACCGTGGTGCACACCTGTAATCCCAGCCGCTTGGGAGGCTGAGGCAGGAGGATCGAAAGTTCAAAGGCAGCCTTAGCAACTTAGGGAGGCCCTAAACAACTCAGCAAGACCTGTCTCTAAATAAAATATATATTTTTTAAATGGCAGGGGATGTCATTCAGGGGTTAAATGCCCTGGGTTCTATCCCCAGTACCAAAAAAAAAATAGTCCAGCTCCACCCTGGGTGAGAAATACTGCCCATCCCAGGCCCTGGCTGTGAGGGAGGGGCAGAAGTCTGGCCAAGATGCAGCTCCCATAGCTGGGCTCTGCACCTGGGTGGCTGGCAGTCCACCAGCCCCTGCCCCTTTATTGCAACAACCCTTCTCTGGTCCTCCAGCAGACTCCTACCAGGGCCTCTGAAGGAAAAGTAGGCCACCAAGTGGATTTCTGCTTCCCAAGGAGCTGTCTCTCTCCCACTGATGGCTGCCCCACCTCTCCCATGGCTGGGGCAGGAGCCAAGCAGCGCACACTCGGCTCTCAGCAGCCTCTGTCCAAAGACCCTGTCCCCAGCTTCCCTACTGTTACCCCTTAGAGTTGTCTCTCCCCTTGTGGGAGCCCAGGCTGAGGGCAGACACCCAACCTGTCCAACCTGTCTGACGTCACCCTCTCTCCACCCACCTGGGCCCCAGGTCTCCAGCGCCCGCTCTTCCTGTTCTCAGCTTCCGTCTTCTCGGTTTCCACCCTGCACCCCACCTGCCAGAACCCAGCCTCCTGGACCTGGCTGGCTTTGAGTCGGTCCTCAGTCCTTTTGGCTGTAGAAACCATCCTGCCCCCAATGAGAAGAGAAGTGGGTCCAGGTCTCTTGAGAGCTGAGCGTTCAGGGCATTGAGCTGACGCACACACTGTGACCTCTGCCACCGAAGACATCTGCACCTTCCATGCGGAGCCGAGATGGGGAATGGGACTGAGGAAGATTATAACTTTGTTTTCAAAGGTAAGTTGGGGTCCTTGGAGAGAGAGGAAGCTTGAGAAGACCAGGAATGAATGAATAGAGTCAGAGGGGACCCCCTCCTGCTTTGCTTCTCTTAGGACTCCCCACATCTCCTGATTCCCCCCAGCTCAGAAAGGAAGGTGCAGGAAGTGAAGGAGGGTCTGGTGACAAGGAGCAAAGGTTCTGGAGTTGCCAAGTACGCCCCACTGTTGTAAATAACGATGCTCATCATGCCTTTATACTGCCCTCTTGGCCTCGTTCTTAATAGAAGCCCGGATCCCGGGGAATAGTCAGACATTGCAGCACAAGAGATGCAGGTCCGACTTCAAAAAGGACTTTCTTTCTGGATAGAGGGAGAAACAAACATTTGACAGGAATAAAATTGTTTTTTTCTGGGCAGATGTATGGAAAAGGAGAGAAAGAGAAGATCTGTCTTTATTGGGCTAGTCTGTAAATATACAGGAAACACACTGAGGAAGTATAATGAATTTGGAGCTGGGTCTGATAAAATCCAGGGGACTCCTGGCGCTGAGACTTGAGCTACTATCCCTTGGCAGATTCCTGGACCTGAATATTAGGCACTGAATTAAATTTGGCTGTCTCTGGAAATACGCACATATCCTTCCTTCTTTACCTTGGCCCCTGTGTTTGGTCCCACTGTGATTCCCCAAAGCCACCTCCATACCTCCTCGAGGGCAGGGTGGCCTGGTAAAGCTCAGATCCCTTTCTAGCCACCCCACCCCACCTCACCCCATTGCCTTCCCCGGCCACAGCCCCACCCTTGTTCAGGTTGGGGAACCTGTACTTCTGGCATCCTTCCCAGGAAGGAGAAACAGAGTAAGGGTTGACAGGAGTCCGGGTGCCCTTACTAGGTACCAGCCACTAACTCATTAATCACCATAACGACCCCCAAAGTTATCCTGCATTCTGAGAGGAAGCACAGCATGAGGTCTGGGTCCTGCCACTTACAGGTTAGTGTAGGAGGGCTCACCAGAAGCTGACTCTAAGGTCGGGCCGCCCGGTGTTGATCAGGGACTGACTCGACACCTGTGAAAGCAAGAGGGAGGAGACAGGCTTGGGAAGAGGGAGAAGTCAACCACACCAACAACTCCTCAAAGCCTGGGCCAAGGCTGCGGGGCTCTGTGATGACCTCACCTTGCTCAGCCCCCCATCAAGAAGGGACCGTCAAGGAAAGATATGACTTCCAGGGAGGTTGCTGTCCGCATCAGAGTCAGCCTCTGATGAAGGTGACAGCTGGAGGCTGTCCACTGCCTGCACTCCCTGTGGTGGGATAGGTGGGGGATAATAATAATGGCACTTACCTCAGGGCATTGTTATCTGAGGATTAAATAAATTAATCTGTGTAAAGCTTTTAGGCTGGTGCCTGATACTTAGTAAGCACTCAATAAACGTTAACTACTAGTAACACCTTTTTTTTTGGGGGGGGGGTTCCAGGGATTGAACTCAGGGGCACTCGACCACTGAGCCACATCCCCAGCGCTAATTTTGTATTCTATTAGAGTCAGGGTCTTACTGAGTTGCTTAGCACCTCGCTTTTTGCTGAGGCTGGCTTTAATAAACTCATGATCCTCCTGCCTCAGCCTTCCAAGCTGCTGAGATTACAGGCATGTGCCACCGTGCCCGGCTAGTAACTTCATTTTAAAGATGAGGAAACTGAGGTTTAGAGACAGAATAAGTAACTTACAAAAGTTCACAAAGATAACAAATCTTACTATGATATATAAGTATAATGCACCAATAAAAAATAATGGGGAAAAAAGTTCACAAAGTCAGTAGAACTCAAACCTAAGTCTGTCTCTGAAACTCTCATCTTGAGCAACTTTAGGGTCTTAGGACAGAGCCTGAAACCCACCCACTGGGAGGGATGAAATTGAGATGAGGTTTCCAGTAGGAAGAGATAGGAACACACACACACACTCCTCTTACCCACACATACCAAGAAAGAGCTACTGGCTCTTTCTTGCCCTGTACAAATAAGGATTTTTTAATGCTGGAAGAGGCCTTTAAAAGTGTATAAACAAGGAAACTGAGGCCCAGGAGAGCCATTTGTTCAAGTTCACATAGCCCCTTGGAGCCTGAGCAGAGACCAGAGTTCAAGATATGTGACTCCCAGTGGTCGGGTACCAGGCTGCCTTTCCAGAACCAGCTGGGTGGCCTCCTCCAATGCTGGGGGCTCAGGTCAGTGACATGCAATGTGTGGGCTGTGCTTACATCAGCCCCTCATACCCTGCTGCAGCTCCTGTGCTGCTCATCAACCTAAAAGGTCTCTGTGGCCCCTCTAGTGGTCCTTTTCCCTGAAAACCCAAGGCAGAAGCACTGGAAGGTCAGCAACAACCAAACTTATCAGTAGTTTTGTATATGGGGGTTTGGTTGTTATTTTGGTACCAGGATTGAACTCAGGGGCACTTAACCACTGAACCACATCCCCAGCCCTTTATTGTATTTAATTTAGAGACAGGGTCTTACTCAGTTGCTTAGGGCCTCACTAAGTTGCCAGCTGAGGCTGGCTTTGAACTCGAAATCCTCCTGTCTCTGGGATTACAGCTGTGTGCCACCGCACCTGGCAGTTTTGTACATTTGCTATATTCTGGGCAATATCTAATCTGCTTCTTCCAACAGCCCATAAGGTAAATACTATTGCTATTCACCACCCCCCTTTTTCATATGAAAATAAGGTTCAGAGAGGTTAAATAGCTTCCTGAAGGACACAGAGCTAGTCTAACACCCAGTCCTCATTCCCTTGCTTTTTTTTTTTTTTTTTTTGGTACTGGGGATTGATCTCAGGGACATTCGACCCCTGAGCCACACCCCCAGCCCTATTTTGTATTTTATTTAGAGACAGTCTCTCACTGAGTTGCTTAGTGCCTTGCTTTTGCTGAGGCTGGCTTTGAACTTGTGATCCTCCTACCTCAGCCTCCCGAGCTACTGGGATTACAGGCATGTGTCACTGTGCCCAGATTAGTTCCCTGCTTTTAAGCATACAGTGCAGGATCTCTTTAGGGTCAACTGAATTCTATATTTATTTATTTATTTATTTATGTATGTACTGGGGATTGAACCCAAGAGCACTCTACCACTGAACTGTATCCCCAGCCCTTTTGCTTTTCCCTTTAAGACAGGGTCTTGCTAATTTGCAGCAGCTGGCCTTGGATATGAAATCCTTCTGCCTCAGCCTCCTGAGTCACTGGGATTACAGGGGTGCACCACCCTGACTTTTTATGCACAGTCACGGGCACACATAACTCCCTACCTTACCCTTGCCCACATATATGCCACCTATTAAATTGTCCCCTCACACATACTTCTGTTCATATCTTTGTTGGCTATGCAAATAATCCACACTGACCCTCCCTCCCCACGTGTCTGCTCAGCTAATGCACAGAGACATGCCCAACGTTCTTGTACTTTCCAGCCAGAGATATGTGCTGCCCCATCCCTGTCCATATTTACCCACCTCAGTAACCTTTTCACATGTCACCCAGAAGAGTCCACAGATTTCACTCCTCCCAGCAATGCAGGCTGACCATCAGTCAGGGCTCTACGGAGCAGGCCTGCAACCCTCGCAGCACCTTTGTTTGATTTAAACTTCTGACCCCTCTGCCCTCCACGACGGATGCATTATGCGACTTGCTGACCCGAGTCTTTGCCAGGAGAACGAAGGGGCTCCCTCCTCAGTTTGGGGAGCTCAGTTCTGCCTTTCTGCAGGGACAGACCCTCCCGGCTCAGGTGCACTCAGGGCCCCTCTGCTGGGTGCTCAGCCCTTATTTCCCGGCTCTTCCAGTGGTGCTGATCGGCGAGTCAGGTGTGGGGAAGACCAACCTGCTGTCCCGATTCACGCGCAACGAGTTCAATCACGACAGCCGGACCACCATCGGGGTGGAGTTCTCCACGCGCACGGTCATGTTGGGCACCGCAGCTGTCAAGGCTCAGATCTGGGACACAGCTGGCCTGGAGCGATACCGAGCCATCACCTCGGCGTGAGCCCGGGGCCTGGGGGGATGGTGGGTTGCTTGCTGGAGCCCTGGGGGGGAAGTCAGGGACACCCCTGAGAAGTGGAGGAGCAGGGGGAGGCACAGGAGGCTCGGCAGTGTGCTCCCAGAGGAGATGACAGGAGACGGGCAACAGTGTGAGGATCACAAGTTCGAGGCCAGCCTCAGCAATTAAGGGAGACCCTGTTTCCAAATAGAACATAGAAAGGGCTGGGGCTGTGGTTTAGTGGTAAAGTGCCCCTGGGTTCAATCCCCTGTACTAAAGGAAAGGGGGAAAAAGTCCTTGCCACAATTTACTAAGCCTTTGCCATGTGCCCAGGAAAGTTCAAAGAACTTTATTTATACTTGGCATTTTATGTAACCCTTCAAGTACCCCTGAAGAAGGTGCTATAATTAATCCTGGTTTAAATACAGGCAAGGGGAAATGAAATCAGGGTGGAGCAGGGATGGGGCAGGCTCCGCGGACCAACAGCGCCCCCTGACGTCAGCACTCCATCTGGCCACATTCATCTGACCACAAGTGCTAAATTGGAGTAATTTATAACATCTCAGAGGACAACGGGAAGTTAGGGTTCCTGACACCTATTCAAAGTGTCTTTTAGTCAGTATCAGACCCAAATATGTAAAAGGTGCTCCAGGAGTGTGTGGTGGGGGATAGCAGCTGTCGGGGGTGGGGGGAGGGTTATGGTCACACTCACACACTCATCACTCTTGGTCACTTGACATCTTGTGAGCTTAGTTGATTAATCAAGAAACAGAGAAAAATTATACAAACCGAGGCTGAAGATGGCTATTCCGGCTCCAGTGGGCGGCTGGACGCTGGCAGAGATGCCCTGAGTGGCCAGGTCAGGGACCTGTCTTTGAGAAATGGCCATCGGAGAGAAGAGGGCACTGTAGGTCGAGGAGCCCTGTGACAAAGATCTCCCAAGTGGGGCATCCAGGAGGCACACTTGGCCAGAGCCCAGAGGTGCGTTGGTGCAGAGTACTGACTAAAATCAGGACCAAGGACCCGAGGAGTGGCGGGCCTTTGAGGGGCCAGTGCAGGTTCTGAAGCACAGAGGTGAAGCTCCAGAGCCCGAGACCAGCATCCCTGGAGCACATGGCTGCTCCCTTGGGGTCTGGATCCCTGAACCCCAGTTTCTGTGTTTCTCAGTATCTGGCATCCTGCTCTCAGGCCTTTTGGCTCCGGAGTCTGTTCTGAGGCTGTCTGTCCTGTTCCTGTCTGTCCTCCCACTCCCACCCAGGTACTATCGTGGAGCAGTGGGGGCCCTGCTGGTGTTCGACCTGACCAAGCACCAGACCTATGCTGTCGTGGAGCGCTGGCTGAAGGAGCTCTATGACCATGCTGAGGCCACTATTGTTGTCATGCTTGTGGGGAACAAAAGTGACCTCAGCCAGGCCCGGGAAGTGCCCACTGATGAGGCCCGCATGTTCGCTGGTGAGAGCTCACCCCCACCCAGTCTGACTCCTCCGGTTTGCCCACACCCCACCAGCTCCATCTTTTCTAGTCCCCACTCTCACCCCGGGGCCCCCAGTGTGGGTTTCCTCCATCTGGGCCCCTGGTTCTCTATCTTCATCCACTGTTTTTTTTTTTTTTTGTACAAGGATTGAACCCACGGTCTTTTAACCACTGAGCCACATCCCCAGCGCTATTTTGTATTTTATTTAGAGACAGGGTCTCACTGAGTTGCTTAGCACCTTGCTTTTGCTGAGGCTGGCTTTGAACTTGCAATCCTCCTGCCTCAGCCTCCCAACTGCTGGGATTACAGGCCAGCCCAGTGCCATCATGCCCAACTTCCATCTAGTCTTGCTCAGTGTCTCCCAGTACTTCCCTCTGGGACCCCGCGTCTGCCATCATGTCCCTCCACTTGCCCTGAGATGGTCTTCCTCAGCAATCATTCATAGTTGATTTTAGGACAGCCCTTCCCTGCAATGCTCAAAGATGCTGGTGGGCTCCCCTTGGTCATCTCCAGTCACCCTTTCCCCAGGGCTTTTCTAGGCTTAACAGCAGCACAACATAGTGCTTCAGGGTCCCCGCCCCCGTGGCCCAGCCTCCCATCTCCTCTTGTTGTTACTAGATGTGAGACATGGATGTAAGTTCCTTCATTCTCTCTGATTCAGTTTCATAACTACCTGTCTCAGCGGTTGTTTGAAGGATTAAATGAGTTACTATATACCAAGGATTTAGCACATAACACATTAAGTTGTTGTTGCTGCTATTATTGTTATTACTGCCTTTGATCCGACAGTTAATCGAGTGTTTCCATTCCTGGCAGAAAACAATGGGCTGCTATTCCTGGAGACCTCAGCCCTGGACTCCACCAATGTCGAACTGGCCTTTGAGACTGTCCTCAAAGGTTAGAGCCTGCCTCCATTTGGCACCCTCCTTCCATCCCTGGGGCTTCAAAGGGCAGTGGTAGAAACGAAAACACTCTGTTAAGCCCACTGTGGGCTCCCCCTCCAGAGCTGTAGCCCCTGGGCCCCTGCCACCCCCCACCCCGGGGCCTCTCACTCAGCCTGCAGCTGAGGGAAGGAAACATAAAGCCACACTTCCCAGGGGAAAGTGAGCGGTTCCTTTTCCACTCAGGTAAGTAGAAGGGACCCTTGTACCCCAACTCCACGTCCTTCTGGCAGAACTGCATGTGTGGCCAGCCCCTGGTTCTCAGAATGGACACGCAGAGTGTGTGCGTGCAGGTGGGTGTGTGCGTGTGCACCTCCAGACTTTCGGGCCTGATCACTGCCCTCCATCCTCTCAGAGATCTTTGCCAAGGTGTCCAAGCAGAGGCAGAATAGCACCCGGACCAATGCCATCACCCTGGGCAGTGCCCAGGCTGGGCAGGAGCCTGGCCCTGGGCAGAAGAGGGCCTGTTGCATCAGCCTCTGACCTTGGCCATGACCAACCCTGCCCGCCACCCCCATGCTTCCTGAAGCTCCCCACCCCACCCCCATTGCAGGACTTTCTCTGCCCTTTGGTTCCCTGTTCACAGCCCCCCAGAGCCCTGGGGTCCTCATGCCCCTCTGTGCGTATCTTTATGAACTATCTACCCCCACACAGGCTAGGACCCTCAAATAAAGCTGTTTTGTATCAATGCCTGGCTGTCTTGCTGCTTCCTATGGTTCCTCCTCTTGCACTTGTCTGTGCCTCCCACCCAACTTTGGCCCCTCCTCTGAATCCCAGATCCCCTCTCCTCCTCCTCCTTCTCCAGTCTTCCCCACCATCCTGACTGTTCCCCAGGGCCAGCTGCCTCTGGAGTTCTGTGGTCTGGGGACAGTGCCAAGGGAGAGGGAGGTGCCGCCCTTCCCTCTGCCAACCTCCAGGGCAGGTGGGGAGGGAGGACAGCCTGGAGGGGAGGGGTATCTGGAAGGCGAGACAAAGGAAACCATCGGCGGGCACCATCTGGTGCCCAGGGTCCTGGTGCCAAGAACTGAGGTCACGCCAATGCCAGGGGCAAGAGGAGGAGGCTGAGGGAGATACAGGAGAGAAGGGGAGGCAGGGCTGGCCCTGGATGTGTGCTGGAAAGGGGCTTTTAAGGCTGGGAGGTTGAAGGCTGGAGTCCTCCATCCAGTCTCCTGCCTCTCCCCAGAGGGATGGATTGAATCTAGCAGGGTGAGTAGGGGAGGCTCTGGGTCGCTCAGCCCTCTGCATCTTCTTCATGGAGCCTGGGAGAGGAGTCCAGGCAAGGGCTCTTCCCCTTGCTTCAACTTCTCCAGTTCTGCAGGGCAGGGTAGGAGGTGCGGAAACATCTCCAAGGAAAAGAAGGGAGTAAATGTGGAAGGAAGAGACAGGGATTGAGAGCTTTGGAGAAAGGAGAGGGCAGCCAATGGCAGGGAACCCTGGAGGCACCACTTCCCACAAGGGGCGTTAGGGGCACCCAGAGCTAAAGCAGAGAGAACCCCCCAGGATCGACATCCCCACCACAGTCCCTGGCTCTCACCCCAGGTCGATGCAGAGTGAAATGCAGAGGAAGACAAAGCCTTAAGTAATAATACTTTTAATAAAATTAAGTTCTTAATAGCACATTTAATACATTAACCCTCCCCCTTCTTGGTTTCTCTGCATTTTGTGCAACATCACTTTGACTTGATTATTCATGGGTCCGTTTTATTTCCCGCTTTTATTTTGCTTTTGAAATTGTTTTTCCTTGGTGGATGTGTCTTCACTAGATGCCTCAAATTAAGTCTGACCACAATCCTACTCTACTTTCTACAGTGGAGAGACCATCCTCTCTGCCCCAGGGCGGTCTCCACCCACCCACCCTACCCCACCCGCACCCTCGAGCGGGGGAAGGGGAAGCAGGCCCTCCCCATCCCAGACACTACCATCCCAGACTAGCGAGGGTTTGAGGACAAATAGAGCAGGGGGGAAATCTGTCCCTAGGTGGGGCAAGAAGAGTAAATTGGGGAGAGGGAGATGTTGGGGGCTGGGGTCAGGGAGCGGCATGGCAGAGTCACTGGTGTAAAGGAACAGGCACCTCATGCCAAAGGGAGAGCCAAGGGCTTCTCCACCCTCTGAGATGGGAGGAAAGGGCCTGATCGGGGTCGACTGCTGGGTTTGGTAGGAGGCAAGTGCTTAAATGTTGATTCCTCACTTGCAAAGCTAGCCTCCCAGTTTTCTGTGGGGAAGGCCACGTGCCCCTGTGCCAGGGCACAGTGGATGACCCCTATGGATAGAGGAGGGCTGGAGTAGAAGGAGTTAAGAGCTGGGGTCACCCAAAGCCCCTGTGCCCCTACCTGTCTCTGTATTGTTGGGGGGACTATTCTCCCAGGCCTTGGAGGATAGTCGTCTCCATTCCACCTCACTGGGTAGAAAGTCCTTCTTGAAATCTAGCTTTTATGAGATAACTTGCAAACCTAGAAAGCACCATACAGACTTAAAGGAGAATAATTATTGAGATCACTACTTTCAGAGGTCAAAAGCAACATTAAATGCTGAAAGGGACCAGGGATGGTGGAAAGTGTGTTCCACTGACTCGTCTGTGGGATGGTTTACCTGGCTCTTATCTGTAGTAAAGTGAATTGAGGTTATACTTTGGTAAGGACTTCCTCAGGCCTGGGAGAAGCTGACTTGGGAGAGCTGAAGCAAGCAGTCTCCATCCTCCCTGAGTCCCCAGAGAGGATGGACCACTTTGCCGCAAGGGCCGCCCAATAGAGATGGCCAGGCCCCCAGGTACAGGGTGTGTAGGTAACGTGCTCAGCCTCCTCTGCTGCCCCCAGCCCAGGCCCCCACCTGGCTGAGGTGGTCAGTGTGCACCCTTTCAAAGACCCTGGGAAGGAGCCCCTCATCTACCTGTCCTACAATTAAAAACTCCACGGATTCTCAGAATCAACCCCAGCAGACTGGAAGCTCCCAATCTTAACTAGCAACCTGCTCCAACCCTGATTCCTGAAGATGGGGCGACCAGGGTGGACTCAGCCATTTCCCTCCTCTATTCTTTTTTGATACGACTTTTATACATTCTACTGGACCCAGGGGTCCTCGATGCTACTAAACTTTAAACTATCTGAATATCGTCTACTAAGTAACTAGTAATTCTTTCTTTCTTTCTCTAGGATTATATGAAATAAATTTGAATTATTATTATTATTTTGTAGTATTCTTTTCTTTTAAACCCCTCGGTTTCTTTCTTTTTTCTTCTCTCTCTCTCTTTTTGGTTAAAAAAAAAAAAATCTATTTCTATTAAATCTCACACCTCTCTGAGGGTTCCCGTAGGCCTACCAGGCCTCAGTTCTGGATCTCCCCTCCGCAGTAGCCCCTGGGACAGGGCAGGGGAAGGGGGGGACACCCCAGGATCCTCAGTCCTTAGTCCCACAGCTTCTTCCTTTCTAGTTAATCCCTTTCTTTGTTTGGCTCTGCCGGCTCCCCAGAGGGGAAGGGGGAGAGGGGAGGGGGAGCCCACCGAGTGAAATCCAATCTACTTGCAGGGCCCCAGAAGGGACCAGGTTCCCCCAGTCCTTCTCTCCACCCTCCATCCCAGGATGCTCCCCCAAGAAAAGCAAATGACATTCCTCCCCAAAAAAAAGTGGGGGAAAAAAGGAACGTAAACCCGAACATATATTAAAAACACTTTTTTTTTTTTAAGATTTAACTCTGAATACAAATGTATTTTTTTCTTCTTCTCTCCCTACATATATTCTAAACCTTCTAAAGTTTTTTTATTTTTTTTAAGGATCACTTTATCATAAAATAAAATATCCTTTTCATATAATAAATTACCTAATAAAAAGTCTTTTTTTTTTCATATTAGCCCAGGTTCTTTGCTACATTTATACGGTAATAAACGCCTTTATTAAAATAGAATATTAAATTATAAAGAACTGTTTTTTTTTTTTTTTTTTTTTGCTATTTTTGTTTCCTCTCCTGTGTTTGTCGCCCATCTCGCTCCCTCTCCTACTCTCGCGCTCTCTCTCCTGTTTTGTTGCTGTGTGTTTTGTTCCTAGGTCTGGCTCACTCAGTAAGGGTGGGATTGGATTGCTGAGCCCCTAGTGTAACAGTCTTTTGCCTTTGTGGGTAAGGAGTGGAGAGGGGGAGGGGGATCCACAGACAGACATCCCTTCTTCCCACCCCCCTCCCGCCCGCCCCTCGGTGACCGAGGGTGCCCATTTGGTTTGGTTTCTATTGTACAGACATCTCAGGATGGCTCACATTGGCGGGAAGGAGGGAAGTTGCCACAGGCCAGTTTTCTGGGCTGTGACCTCCTTCCTCTCCCCTCCCAGGCTGGTGGTTTGGAGGGGAAGGCTGAGGAGAGGTGAATTAATTCACAACAGGAGAAAGGAGAGGAGGGGACTCCCTCTGTGCCTCCATCCCTGCACCCCTTCTCCATTCTGAAAGAATGGGACTCCTGAGCTCTAAGTGCTCAGAGATCACGCACAACAGTCCCACCCCATTATATACAAGATCTCCTGGGCCCTCTGGGGCTCCCATCCCCATCCTCTCCTGGCCCGGCCAGCGGAACCAGGAGGGTGGGAGGCTGGTGGCAGCCCCAAGTGAGCAGTAGGGAGGCAGCAAAGGGGGTGCCAGGACTGTCACAATACATGATTCTCGGAACAGGCCCTGAAGCACCTCCATCCTGCTTTGCCCAGGCCTGACCCCCTCTCCTAAGACCTGGCCTCTCTCCTCAACCACAGTGGGTAGGACAGACATTTCATGATTTGCACACTAATAAGGATTCACTAAAGGTTCAGTCAGGTCCAGAGAGGAACCAGGGAAGGGAGCACTGCAGGAGAGGGGGTCACCCCACCACATCTCTCCTACCCGGGCCCTTTCCTGCTTCTGCTCCCCTTTCCCACAGCCAGAAAACCCAGCGTGGGAACTGCTCCCTAAATATAATGCCCATAGGTGAAGAAGGCGGGTGTTTGACCCTTTATGTACCCCAGTATTAGTCCCCCTCTCAAAGTGTCACTGAGAACGGGGGATACATTCCATCAAGGGTTGGAGATGTTTCTTTGGAGGAGTGGGGAGAGGGCCTCCCAATGCCTGGAGAGGAACTGAGGGGTCATCAAAAGGTTCTTCCCCCACTTTTCTCCAGACAGACGGTGTCCCCAAAGCTGGGCTGGAAGGAACAGGAGCGAAAGGGGAGAAGGGAGAAGAGAAAGAGAAGGAGCCAGACAGGGCTGGGAGTGACAGCCGCCCCGGGGAAGGAAAAAGAGCTAGAAAAAAGGAAAAAGCAAAGAAGAACCAAAGGAAGGAAGACAGGGAAGAACTGGAGGGGCGGAGAGGGGCGCCGCTCTCCAGACTCCTCTAGCCCAGCCTTGCGAGGAGGATGAATTCTGAGCCCTTTATTGATTGACAGGCTGCTCCCCATCCCACCCGCCCCACAGAAGATCTCTGCAGACTTCTGCCGGGCGGCAGTTCCCCTATACTATAGGAAAGTCTGGGAACAAGTTTCCCAAACAGGATATGGGTGGGGGTGGGGGGGTTGCTAAAGGGTCACGTTAGGAGGTCAGAGGTCAGGACCAGAGAGGGCCAAGAACTGCAAAGAGCACCTCTAGATACAGATGGTAATTCTCCCTCTCCCTTTCCCCACCCCCTCCACAGAGGATAGGGCAGTAACACATAGTTGGGGAGGTGGGCAGAGGGGGTCAGGACGCCC